GCCTCTTGGTAATGGGTCGATGCAAAAAACTTCATGGCGAGAGTTCAGATGAACTTTGGACCAACTTATGGTGCTTCTTACATAGTTTCAAAGCTTTCGAAAAGTTTTGAAACACTCTGAAAATACTCCACGGCTCAGTGCCAGCAAGCGGTCAAAGCCGCTTCCTATACTTTTCGGCCAGCCTGTAGTTTGGGCGCACCCTGTAGTATCAGACGTGCAATGGCAGCGTACTAGGACACCGTACTCGTTATTGCCCGACTTTCATTCTAAAGTGCACCCGCATCTTCTTATCCAACGGTATCGCCTCTTTCACGAGGTTACGCTCGTGCAACCATTATCTACATCAGATCTTTGATAATGCGTAGGTAGCTCCTTACAACCAGCGTTATGGCTCCTTCTGAGTGCTATCGACATGCGTATCGTCCTCCAATTCTTTGTTGAGTTTAAAAGATGGGTTGCGGCGTGAATGTTACAAAATCGATGCTGCTAGTGGGACGCGCAGGACGAAATCTGGCAAGACATACGGAATCGTATGATACAGTGGTAGAGACTAATGGCTTCTTCGTTTGAAAACATAACACATCATTGATTTCCCTCTCAGGAACAACATAGTGTTTGAGTCAGTAGCCGGTTTGGCTACTTTTTTCTACTGAGCATATGCAAGCCTGTAATTCAGTAACTTTATAAAGGTTACGAATATGCACAATGTATTTTATAGATACAATTACTATTTAAAAGCTATAGACCATCATAGTATAAAGTCAAGGTTATAAGAAAATCCTCATCCCAGTTTTCAGCGATCGTATAAGCTAATGATAAGGTGGACTAAACATCGCGAGAGCGTTCGTCCTTTAGTAAAGAAAGGAGAGGGAAAATCGAAGAAAAGAGGATAAATATGAAGAAGGATGAGTCTTCAAGAATTCAATACCTGCCGTCGTAAAATTAATGGTTCACGGATCAACAAAAGGAGTGGTGTGTCAGGAACAGTGACGCAAATATCGTTTTCACATTTGCTTTTCCTACTCTCATCTTGCTCTCTCAACAGATCTTCCCTTTACTCTGTGGTACAATTTTGAACTCGGAGGTAATTTTGGAAGGCCAAGTTGCAAAGTGAGAAGGATTAGATACCTGTTTCAGGTGCGTGCAATCAGTCATAGCGATCATTACTGAAAACAAAGGAATTTTCAACTTGCAACGAAACAACTTTTATACGAGTGAACGGACTCAACAAAGTTAAAACATAATACCCAGATGAAATGTGGCGGTTGAAAGTAGGAGACCGATTTCGTAGGGGATGTCGCGGAGATGAATTGGGCTGCGGGTTCCTGAGTGTGGGGATCACACAAGTTTTAAATCTTAGCCGCACAGGCTCGCTGCCACTAGGTCGTGCGAGTTTGTTGAGGGGGTACGCTGAGCTGATTTAGGAGTTCGATGACCTCTTACAGACACGACGATCCGGAACGGAAGCCAGCGACAGTAATCTACTCTTACTGCACCTTTAAAATTGTCCGCCATCATCCTTAGGGCACCTAGCATCGTCCGATCACGATCGAATCACTACTCACTCCTAGATTGACCCAACCATCAGCGGCACTAAGAGTCTCCAACCCCCTACCTGGCAGTACACCGAAAATGCCGTTTAATATTTACCGAAGCGGCGGATTGATCAGCCATCAAAGAGAGGATATAACGTGATTCTGTCACAAGTGAAACTAACGCGATAAGTTTTTGCTTGTTTGTGTGAGCTTCAACGTTGTCATTTCACAGATTCCGAAACGTTGTTGCTGAATGAGAATTCGATGGCATATGAGCTATATAAAAGGGCTAGCTATATAAAAGAAGGAGGACCTAGCAGTCTGAGATATCAAGCGACGATGGATCTGCTTCATGTGATTCTTGCGATGCTGGTAAAGCTCTTTGTCCTCCAATTTCAGAGCATTTTCATCACTTCTACTTATGGCGTAATTTCAGCTGGCCACTTTAGCGTCAACACAAGACGACGATTATTATGGTGGCGGCTCAGGACAGGATGGTGATGCTTCCAGCACATCATTAGCTTCTTCAACAGCAGAAGCAACAACAACGACCTCAGAAGCAACGACAACGACGTCAGAACAGCAACGACACCAGAAGCAACAACAACGACGTCAGAAGCAACGACCACGACGTCAGAAGCAACAACGACACCAGAAGCAACAACAACGACGTCAGAAGCAACAACAACTTCAGAAGCAATAACAACGACATCAGAAGCAATGACAACGACGTCAGAAGTAACAACGACATCAGAAGCAACAACGACGACGTCAGCAGCAACAACAACGACATCAGAAGCAACAACAACGACGTCAGAAGCA